GATACAAAGGAAAGATCATTTTGTATTTATACATACAAAATAGGATAAATTTACAGCTACTTTCGCTTAACTCAATGAGAAGAAAGAGGTGTACTAACAGTGTGTGGACAGAAAATCCTGTCTGCTTCTTGTACTATGGATAACCACTAAGAAGATAACAATGTACAGTGTATTGACTATCAAAACTGTCCTATTAATCAGTTGTGATACTGTCTCATTCATATTTATTTCTTAATAAAAAAAATATAAAAAAAGAAAGACAAAAAAACCCTGTAAGATCAATTAAAAAAAAAAAAGTTAGCAGGCCTAATTTCTACTAGGATGTACTCTAGTATAGTAACTCATTTATCTTGGGGTGGTGGAAAAGCTAGCTGCAAATACAGCAAACACTATGTATTCATGATTTTCAAGGCAAATCATGAATTCATTCTGAAAAAGAATTTGTTGTATCTGAGCTCACTTTTGAAGTTTTTTTCCCCCCTTAAATTTTATTACTCTATTTGGTTGTGGTGATCTGAACCGCCTCTGAAAAAGGAAACCTCTGTAATCATAAAATGCCAATGCTGTTAAAGTGTTTAGAGACGCCAAGCCCAGGTGCTTTAAAAATTCTTGGCCTCATCATAATTCTATGTTAATAAATCTCAGCCAGGCATGGTGGCACACGCCTGTGATTCCTGCATTCGGGAGGCTGAGGCAAGAGAAATGCAGTGAATTTGTACCAGCCTGGGCTACAACGTCAGTTCAAGGCCAGCCTGAGCTGCATGGTAAAACCCAGTCTCAAAAAACAAACAAAACCCAGGACATCTAATAAGTAAAATACAGGCAGAACCGCGCGCTTGTACAGATACTAGTGGTAAGTTCTTAGGTCTGACAGATGAAAAACTCACCGGGTTAGGCTGAGTCCTTCCCCTAGCAAACACTTTACTCTCGCATGTGTCTCCCTTACAGCACCTCTAGCTCAGGGCTAGGTCCGCGGACTCGGACCTAAATACGTGTAATCGACTCGCACCCAAACCTATTTTTGCACACGTCCACACGCACCCCGAATCTCTCCTGTTTTTTGGAGGGGAGTCCCTGCCTAGGAGCTCGGAGGCTTTAGGGGGCCCTTGGTGATCACGCATCGCCTGAGCAAACTGGACGCTTCTGGGCTGCAGAACTCTGCACCCCGGCAGCAGAGCTAGAACACTAGGTGGGAGCGGAAGCTCACGGCCGGGCTCCGCACCTCCTCCCTCTCGGGCCAGGTCCCGGAAGCGGCCCCGAAGCCCCCGCGCCCGGCACAGGACACCAGAGTGGGGCGGCCCCGCCCCTTACCGGAGCTCGAAGGGGCGTCGCTGAAGCCCGCGGTGAGCGCGCCTCGGAGCCCAGCCGCCGCGACGAGCAGCCCGGCCAAGGCCAGGGCCGCCAGGACGCCGGAGACTGGACGCCCACAAAGGGCGTGCGGGACAAGCTGTGACGCAAGAGGGAGCCTGCCTAGCCCCGCGCCACCCCGAGAGCGAGCTCGCACGGACTTAGGACCCAGGTCGTGCCACGGCCCTGCTTTTTCCACAGCTCCAGCCCCTCAGTCCGCTCGTGCCGATCAGAGGCGCGAGCGACGTGACGCACTTCCGGGGTGTTGCTATGGGAACAGCGCGGCACGCCCCTCTGTAACTGAGCCGGCCCTAGTGGTGCTGGAGAAGGGTTTGCAGCTATCCAGGCGACCTCTTCCTCCTCCACTGCCTGTGCTCCACCCCACCGTGGCGTCAGAGTCAACCTAAGAGCTCCTCTGTGTTCTTGGATGTTTAGACGTTGGCCTGCGGAAGATGCACTTTATTTGTGTAAGGGTAAGAAAGTTATTCCTGAACGGTGGGGACGAAATCTGTACTCATTAGATGCTGTCGGAACGAAAACAGTGACAGAGATCTTGAGTCTCTCTGGTCGCTGGGCAGGACGGTATTCACCTCCGGGAACAGTTAGGTTAACTGTGCCGTCCCTGGTCCTGAACTGGATGGACTTTGTAAGCAGGCCTAGCGGGCACGCAGTGCAGATTGGAGCATATCTAGGGTGAATGTCTCAGAAGAGAGAGTGTTTCTATCTCAAACTGAAAATAGCAGTGTAAGCATGTCATTAAGAAATAGGAAGATAAATTGGATGGGGTGCCTAAAGGGATTGAAACTGATTGCCTAAAGAGAGGGATAGGACAGAGGACAATAATAGTAGTAGTGGTAGTAGTTGCTGTTGTTGTTTTTACAATCTCAATGAATGATTTTCTAAACAGAGTACAAACACAACTTCAGTAAAAATAGAAGTTAAAAAATATGTAGAAAAATCATCTAGGGTATAAAAAACATTATAGGGGTTCGATTGAGACTGGGCGTGGTGGCATGTGCCTGTAATACCAGAGCTTGGGAGGCTGAAAAACAAGAAGGATCATTACAAGTCTGATCTGTGTAGTGAGACCCTGTAGACCCTGTATTAAATTTATGTAAAAAAGAAGAAAAAAAAACTATTTGGCAATCAGATTAAAATTGTATATTAATAAAATATTTTAAATGATTAAATCATATAGGCTAACTTATAAGTCAGGATATAGTATGAATGATATACATATACTCTATTATATTATAGTTTAATTTAAAAATTAAACTATATGCCTAGGAAAAAAGACTGGGTGATATTTTCTTTTACCCGTTCCCCAAGTTTTCCCTAATGCTTGTGTAAATTACTGCCATTTTTTTGTTTTGTCTTATGTCATGGTTTGGGGTTTTTTGCAAGGGAAACAATATAATACAGGACACATTTTATAATATTTTATAATGAATCATCTAAAGAATTATATACAACAAGTACAGGAAACCTGTCCACACACTAAACAGTAAAGAATCCAGCTAAGAGCCTAGAGCTCCTAACAGTGCCTCCCACAAGTCTGACCAGAGGCCTCGAGCCCACAACAGAGTCTCATGCAGAAAGGCCCAAAGGTCAGTGGTGGAAGCTAGGAAGTCTGTCCCAGCGGGATGAGGGGTCTGTGCTAGCAGGCTGAGGGACCTGAACTGGAGCTAGGAAGCAGCATTCAAGGTAAGCACCAGAGCTCCCCCCAAAGTACCACAGCTATCTTCAACAACAGTGAGGTCCCAAGCTCCTCCAGCAATGAGGAAAGCCAGGTTCCCATTAGGAAAACCAATGAACTAGCAGCCCAACAGAACTAGCAGCTTCCAACAGCTCCAACAGCTTCTTGGAACAGCATTCCTAACAGCATTCTGGCAGCTCCTCCTGTTCTGCCTTTTATGCTGCTGGCAACAATCCTCAGGTGGGCCTCCTGCACCCTGTACCACACTAGTTTAATTCAGCGGATATAGTATGTTGACCACCAGTTAGAAACCCACTAGATCTTGTTTTGTTTTAGTTGTTTTTTTTTGTTTTTGTTTGGTGGAACTGGGGATTGAACTCAGGCCCTTGCGCTTGCCAGGGAAGCGCTTATTCCACTGAGCCATCTCCCAGGCCCTTTGTCTTAGTTTTTGAAACAGGGTCTTGCTATGTAGTTGAGACCATCTTTAACTCAATATGTAGCCCAGGCTGGCCTCAAACTCATGGCAATCTTCTTGCCTCAATCTCCAGAGTGCTGGGATTACAGGTATATGCCAGCATGTCCAGCTAATTTTTTTTAAAACTGTGTTCCTGTAGTGATTATCCAACAAGGCGGCAAAACTAGGGCGACAGTGATACCACCCTATGCCAAAAATTTTTCACATTAGCAGATCTTCCTGAGCCTATCACAACCACATCAAAAACAGTTCCTAAATTGAATGTAGTCTGGCTCTGAGGGTGGGGAAGGAAAGAGAAATAGAAAGTATATAATCTATAAATGCAGTGTTTCTTATAACTGGAAAAATATCTTATAGTGAGACAAGTAAGTTGTAACAAAATGTAGGTAAAATGTAAGCTTTACTGTCTTGCACAGACAGGTTGATTCTCTTATCAGATCTGCTTCTGCCCTGACATTACACCAATAATAAGGATTAAACCCGAGTCCTCTTGTATTCCAGGCAAGAACTCTGCCACTGAGCTACAACCCTAGCCCTTTCATTCTATTGGTTTTTCTTTTCATTCTATTTGTTTGTTTGTTTGTTTGTTTTGATTTTTTTTTCATTCTATTTTAACCAGAGTCACAGGCTGGCCCTGAATCTGCCTTAAATCCTCCTTCTTCAGCCTTCCAAATAACATAGATTAATGGAATATGCCACCCTTCCTAGATCAGGTCTGTAACTTGGATTAGATTTCTAGACTGTAAATACTTAGGCGATATACAGGTACCATGTCTTATATAATAATATAGCCTTAAGCAAGTATGTGCAATACTATATTCCACATACTTTGCTGAGAGGTTGTGGTGAAAAAAATAGATATACTCCCTATATAAACTAGAAGGAGCATATAGGCTAGAAGGGAAGATAGATGTTTATATAAACAAGTAATGATAAAAAAAACCTTATTGAGTAAACTAATTGAGAAAATACAAGGGAGACATATCTGATGTGATGAACCTCTCAGGAGAAAATATTTAAGATTATAAAAACCCACAGTACTTTGATACAGACCAGGACATTTAATACATACTTCATTAGTTGGTAAATAGAAAAGGATGCCAAGCTGGGGAGATAGCTCAGCGGCTCAAGCGCCTGCCTGGCAAGCACAAGGTGCTGAGTTCAATCCCCAGAAAAAAAAAAAGAAAGAAAGAAAGAAAGAAAGAAAGAAAGAAAGAAAGAAAGAAAGAAAGAAAGAAAGAAAGAAAGAAAAGATGCCATACATCAGTCCTTGGGCTAACTCAGCGGCTCACACACAGTCTTCAGTATGCGTGCAATACACTAAACAGTGCACCGAATACAAACTGAATTGCACAGTGCTCACTTTGGCAGCAACTATGCTAAAATTAGAATCGCACTGCCAGGCTTACCCATGAACAAACAACCCAACATCCTTCAAGGAACCACAGTCTGAAAGATCCAACCAAGTGAGGTTAACCTCCAGGCCTCCGAATGTTGTGCTTCCCAGGCCAAGCCTGCATTTCTAGAACTAGACCACAGCCAGCCCTGCTGGGGAGGAAGAGTAGAGACAAAGCGATTTGCCCAGTACCTAGGTACGACAAGCGTTTTTTTTGTTTTGTTTTGGTTTCTTTTTTCTTCAGCAGGAAATTACTATGCAGGTGACAAATTTGCATCAGGTTTCCTCTGATTTGTCCTGAAATACATGTGAGAACAATGTGCACTGCCAAGAAATGTGGAATTAGATTCCAGCCTCCAGCTATTATTTTAATTTATGAGAATGAAATCAAGGGAAAGAATCGCCAGCGCATCATGCCAGTCCGAAACTTTTCCAAGTTCTCAGGTACCCCATGTTTTATCTTGCCTCTTAGTCCAAATATTCTCTGAATCACCTAATAGGCACCGTCTCCTGCAATGTAGTGACATGGCCTTCAGAGCCTACAGACTCAGGATCAAATCATGACTCTTGTCAGGGACAAGAAGCCTGGCCTTGCCAAATTGTTTACTATTAATGACCTTCAGTTTCCTCAGATACAAAAGGTAATGGAGTGCCGGTGATATAGCTCAGTAGCACAAGTGCCTGTGTGGCAAGCACAAGGTCCTGAGTTCGATTCCCAGTACCAAAAAAAAAAACAAAAAAACCGTAATGGAGGGCCAACCAGATAGCTCAGCAGATGCAGGGGCCAGGGGTTCAATTCTTAGCCTGCCATGCCAGCCCTGCCCTCAGGGTGTGCTGAGACAGCAGTTGAGACTGGGCATGGTGGTGTGTGCCTGTAATCCCAGCGCTTGGGAGGCTAAAAAAGAGGAAGGATCACTACAAGTCCGATCTGTGTAGTGAGACCCTGTAGTTCCTGTACTAAATACATTAAAAAAAAAAAAAAGATCATTTTTGTCCAGTTTGATAATGTAGTCCTCTGAAGAGTGTTTTAGATTAAATGAGACAGCACTATTCAGTCATATTAATTCCTGTCTCTACCTCTAAATTTTTAGATTTATAATCTTTTTTTTTTTTTTTTTTTTTTTTTTTTAAGAATAGGAAATTTTGGGGCCAGGGAGATAGCTCAGTGGAATAAGCGCTTCCCTGTCAAGCGCAAGGGCCTGAGTTCAAGCCCTGGTTCCGCCAAAAAAAAAAAAAAGGAAATTTTTATGGCCAGATAGCTCAGCAGATTAAAGTGTCTGCAAGCAGGTGCAGGGGCTGGAGGTTCGACCCCAGGGCCTGCTGTGCCTGCCCCTCACCCCCAGGGCACACTGAGATGGCAATTGAGACTGGGCGTGGTGGCGCACACCTGTAATCCCAGCTCTTAGGAGGCTATAAACAGGCAAATCATTACAAGTCAAATCACTCACGATCTAGTAGTGAGACCCTGAACACCCTGTAGAACCTTTCTTAAAATACAAAAAAGGAAAATAGGAATGGGGAGTAGCAATAGCTCCTGAGAGATGGGAGGGGTCCCACATGGGTTGCCCTAATTTTATAGTCTTGATATTTTAGTAATACCACTACTGCTGTCTAAAGCTATAATGTCTTGTTAAATTCTCAGACAAGTGATTTTAAGTTAGAGAAGTAAAAAACATATGCACCCTTCTACGTCTATACTCAAGTTCAATTGTTACAGGGAATAGTTCTATAAAATAATTTATCCCAATAAAGCCATTTACCCACTTGGCTGTCACCACAGAGACATGATTTCAGAGCTTGAAACTTTTGGTTCTGTTCTGGCCTTCATAGTAGATCATGGCATAGTAACTGTGGTCAATACCATATATCCAATGGACAAGTATTTTTTTTCTTCCTTCTTAGATTGCACCAGAGCTGCTGAGCAATTGAAGAATAATCCACGCCACAAGAGTTACCTGGAGCAGGTATCCCCAAAGCAGCTAGAGAAGTTGTTTGCTCTTTTACGAGGTCACTTGTGTGGACAGAGTCTAGCAGCAACAATGGAGCAAATTCAGCAGGAGACAACCATCAATCCTGAAGAAGACATGAACAAATTAGACGACAAGGAGCTTGCCAAGAGGAAGAGCATCATGGATGAACTCTTTGAGAAAAATCAGAAGAAGAAGGATGATCCAGATTTTGTTTATGACATCGAGGTTGAGTTTGTACAGGATGAACTGCAGTCCTGCGGCTGGGACACAGAGTCAGCTGATGAGTTCTGATGCCACACACAGCTTCCTGGGCCAGCAGAATGTCCATGTTTTTACAAACAAAATAGACTGAATCTAGAAAAATGCATAAAGAACCCTAAATGTATAGGTTGGATCTTAAAACCAAGACATTTATACCTACTATGTAGGTGCATAAAAAATACAGGAATAACAGTATAGGAATCTACCAGCCAGGAGTTTGCAGACTGATGGAAGATAATGCAGAAAACTTGTGCAAAGCTAATTAGTACTTCTAAGCAGCAAAAAAGACTAGAGAAAGATGCTTGATAAAAGCCAAAGATGATCAGAGCTTAGGTTCCTATAGAGTAAAATAGGGAAGTCTTCTTTTTAAGTGCAAGATGGGGTGGGGTTTTGCTTGGCCCTGCAATGGTAGTATTTAGCAAAAAGCTTGGGTAGGATTCCACATGGGAGCAATTAGAAAAAGAGGAAAAATGGTAAAATGACAAAAAATAGAAATTCTTTTTGGTGAACAGTGGGTAAATTATAGTTTGACGGAGAGTTATCCTGTGTATATGTCTTTATTTGTATTTAACACTTTTATGTGTGTTTAACACTGGTGTGGAAGAGACTCCTGCGATGCGCCCTGCATCTACCAGTAGATACTCGTGAACAGCAGGGGAGTATCACCCCTTGGCATCAGGCAGTGCACACTAGCGACGTTCCGAAGCCTGGGACCTCTTCCCGTAGATGAGAGGTTAGTTTCACTGCCAAATGGGAAATCCACCCGTAGTTCATCCACAATAGTACAGCCAGTTTATGCATGAAATTTGGAGGTACAAAGAGAGAATCTGGGCTGGGGCTGTAGCTCAGCAGCACAGCACTTGCCTGGCAAGTGCAAGGTCCTGAGTTCAATTCCTAGTACCAAAAATAAGAGAGCGAGAAAGGATCTCTGTTTAAGCTATTTGTGCACAGATACATTTGTCCTTACTACCATGTTATGTCATTGGAAGAAATCCTATGTTTTCTACAAGGAAATTAACATTCATTAAATAAAACTGCAGAAATAAGTGTTTATTTCTCTTTATCTTTATTCTCTTCAGCATTAAACACTTGCCTAAAATGGATCATTTATGTAGTGATACTGCCAGGACCTTCAGACACTCATGTCTCATACATATTTGCCAAAGGCAGCAAAAGAATTTTCAGATTGAGAGATCCTTTCATATCTACACAGAATCTTACATCATTGTGTAGATGTAGGTGATTAATTTTAAAAGCTGAACTTTGATAATTTTTTCCTGTCACTGTTGCAAAAAATATTATAGCCAGTAACTTTGTATGTTCTATTTTGCACATCGATAAGGATATCTATCTGTGTTCACTCTACATAGCTGTTATTAAGTTATTCTCCATAGAGTTTCTTTTTTTTCATAATCTTATTGAGAAATAGCAATAAGACATTTTCAAATCAAATTGGTAGGACAGTTCCAATAATTAACACATTGCATACTGTCTTCCTAGTGGTTATTTGTTGTACAAGATGCAGACATGATATCCTATTTACAAACACTATTAGACCAAATCCCTCTATTCCTTGAATTAAGAGAATGTAGCTATATATCTATCCTAACCATTTTGAATACACAGATACAAAATGGTCATTCATCTGTATCCCCTTTTTTTGTTTAGTTCCATCATTTAAATATTATAGGTGTGTGAACTCAGCAAAATATTGCAAAATAGTCCAGTAGTCCATAACAGTATTGGGTCTTCCACTTGACTGGCAATGCCAGAAGTTGTTGACCTGATAAAGTTTCATTCATTCATTATGCATACTTTTTTTTTTTTGTCTTTTTGAGACAGGGCCTCACTATGTAGTTTGGGCTTGCCTTGAGCTCACTTTGTAGCCCATGTTAGTTTCAAACTTGCAGAGACCTGCTGCTCAGCCTCTTGAGTGCTAGGATTAAAGGCGTCATTATGCATCCTTAATGAGCACGTATGGTACCCTAAACCTGTACTATTTTAGGGTTTGGGGAAATAGCAGCATATCCAATAGTTTAAACATATGCAAGAACCTTCCATAGTACAAGAAAACAGCCTCTGTGATGGCACACACACCTGTAATCCTAGCACTCAGGACAACGAAGCAGGAGGATCACTGTCAGTTCAAAGCCAGGCTAGATTCTATAGTGAATGGGTTTAAGGACAGCCTGAACTGCATACTGAGATCCCAACTCAGAAGATAAATACATAAACAAACAAACCAGGAAAACATCTGACTTTTGAGGGTCAGTGTATCTAATACAATTACCGAAGTTTTGTTCATTTGGATGTTAGAAACATCTCATAACATACACCCATTAGAGATGATCTGGCTGGATGGAGTTTAGTTCTCGAAATTCTTGCTCAGCCTATGAAGCACAGTAATTCAAGGCCTACCCTGAAAGTTCAGTTTGGCTGTGGTCTAGCCTCAGTCTGTTGGACTAGGTTCAGTTGCCAGTAGTGTATGTGTATGGGGGTGGGGAGATGGGGATGAAAGAGCTCAATTTGAGCCAGATGTGGTAGAGCATTGCCTGTAGTCCCAGCATTTGGGAGGCTGAAGCAGGAGGAATGCTGTGAGTTCAAGGCTAGCCTTAACTACATTATGAGAACCTCTCTCCAAAAAACTGCAAAAGATTTACATAAACATTCTACTGAAGATGTGTCATGGGAAGTTGGGAATGTTGGCACATGCCTATAATCCCAGCACTCAGGAGGCTGAGACAGCAGGATTGCTGAGAATTTAAGGCCACCTTGGGTTACATAGGGAGTTCAAAGCCAGCCTGAAACTATACAGCAAAACTGTCTCAAAAAACAAACAAGGCCAGCGAGATAACTCAGCAGACTAAGTGCCTGCTTTGGCAAGCACAGAGACCAGGATTTGATCCTGCCTCGGAGGTGCGCTGAGCCAGCTACCAAGTCTGGGTATGGTAGCACACGCCTGTAATCCCAGCACTGGGCAGGCTGAAAACAGGAGGATCACTACAAATCCAAGCTACGTAGTGAGACCCTGTACCAAATACATAAAATGAAAAAAGAAAAAGAAAAACCAAAGATGTGTTTTTTAAAAAAAAATTTATTTGTGTGTGTGTGTGTGTGTGTGTGTGTGTGTGTGTCCAGCTCAGCCCACCAGGGGGCGGGGCTGGCTGGCATGTGGTGCTGGGGGACCGAACTGCGGTCCCTGTGCTTTGCTAAGCTTGTTCTAAGTAGGTGCCTTAGACCACTGAGCCATCTCACCAGTCCCAAGATGTGCTTTTAATAAGCAATTGAGTAGATAGTCAACATCATCAGCTATTAGGGAAAGGCAAGTTGAAACTACAAGATTATTTAATGCCCACTAGAACATCTATGATGAAAAAGACCAGGCAAGTGTTGATGAGGTATAGAGATGCCAGAACACTCACCCATTGCTGGTGATGATGTAAAATGTTACAGCAACCTCAGAAAACTGGCAGTTTCTTAAAAGTTATGCACAAACTTACAATACTAGCTATCCTGCCAGCCATGGTGGCACACATCTGTAATTCTGGCACTTGGGAGGCTGAGGCAGGAGGACTGCTGTGAGTTTGAGGCCAGCCTGGGTTACACAGTGGATTGAAGGCTAACCTGACCCGCATAACAACACCTTTTTCAAAAAGAAAAAGAAAGAAGGAAAGAGAAAAAGTACTAGCAATTCTACCTATAGAAATCTGCATAAGAGAAATGAAAACATGTGTCTTCACAAAGACTCGTAAGTGAATGCTCGGAACAGCACTTTTCATATACTTAAAAAGTGAAAATGAGGGGGCTGGGGAGATGGCTTAGTAGAATAAGTGCTTCTCTGGCAAGCGCAAGGGTCTGAGTTCAATTCCCGGTTCAGCCAAAAAAAAAAAAAAAAAAGTAGTGATGTGAAAATACACAATCAACATTCACAAGTGCACCCCTTGGGCACTTAAGGAGATCTGGAAGTGTGCCATGAAGGAGATGGGGACTCCAGACGTGCACATCAATACCAGGCTCAGCAAAGCTGTCTGGGCCAAAGGAATAGGGAATGTCCCATATCATATCTGGGTACAGTTGTCTAGGAATGGAACGAGGATGAAGATTCACCAAACAAGCTATATACTTTGGTAACCTACGTCCCTGTTCCTACATTCAGAAATCTCCAGACAGTGAATGTGGATGAGAACTAACTTTGAAATAAAGCTGCCAAAAAAAAAAAAATGAAAACAATCTAATGCCCATCAACTGGTGAAAGGAGGAATAAAATGTAACTATTCGTAAGAGATTATAAAAAAAAAAAAGAAAAGCCAGACACAGAAAAGTACATATTATGTAATACATGATTCATTTATATGAATTTGTGTGTGCTTGTGTGTGTGTGTGTGTGTGTGTGTGTGAGACAGAGACACAGAGACACAGAGACACAGAGACAGAGAGAGACAGAGCAGAGACAGAGACAGAGGCAGAGGCAGAGGCGCGGTCTTGCTATGTACCAGAGGCTGCCCTTAAACTGCCTCGGTAGCACCACCATGCCCAGCTGAATTTTGATTTTTTAAAGCAATTCCATGAAGACAGGAAGCAGACTAGTAGCAGGGGCTGTGGGTAAGAATTGACAGCAAATCCGTATGAGAGATATTTAGGAAATGACCAACTGTCCCACTCCCAAGGCCGTGATAAATTTTTGTTTGATATTTAGGAGAGATAGTCTAAAACCAGATTAGGGGGGCCTGGCCTTAGCTCATTTGTTGGGGCTGGTGAGATGGCTCAGTGGTCTAAAGCGCCTACTTAGAACAAGCTTAGCAAAGCACAGGGACCACGGTTCAATCCCCCAGCACCACATGCCAGCCAGCCCCGCCCCCTGGTGGGCTGAGCTGGCCACACACACACACACACACACACACACACACACACACACAAATAAATAAATAAATAAAAAATAAATAAAAAAGAATTAAAGAATTAAAACCAGATTGGGTGATGTCTGTACAATTCTGTAAATTCACTAAAAAAACTATTGGTCACTTAAAAACAGGTGGATTTTATGGTGTTTATTGAGGTCTTCAAAAAACTTTCAAAGTAGGAAACAGAGAACAGAATCAATGTCTACTAACCATTGGTTAACCACAGGTCTGTGTAGAACCTTCTTGAAACCACCTGAGGTGGGGACTGAAAAAGACCGGAAGCTGGGTATAGTGGTGCAAAACATGTAATCCCAGAATTCTGGGTGGCTGAAGCAGAGGGATTGTGAACTCAAGTCCAGCCTGGGCAATTTAGCAAGACTGTGTTTCAAAAAAAATTTTTTTTGAAATTTTTCAGAAGGCTAAGGCAGGAGAATTGCCATGCGTTCAATGCCAGTATGGGCTACATATTGAGTTCAAGGGCAGCCTGAGCTAAATATTAATTTTTTGTCTGAGGTAAATATTAAGACTCTGTCTCAAAATAAATAAAAACAAATTTTAAAAAATTTATAAAAAGTCCCATGCTTTCTAGGCAAGCATTTTCTCTCTGAACCACTCCCTAGGCTGTGATAAACTTTTGTTTGAGTATTTACCTTGTGGAAACTCCCCAGGATGTTTAGAAAGGAACATTTTAAAGAGAAAGGGAAACACAAGACAAAAAGATTTCAGTCTCTGTATTAGACTGGGCAGAGCCACCGGTTTGAAATGAGACAGGGGCAGCAAGAGAGGAAAGAGTAAGGAGTTGGGTGGCAATGCAACGGAAGCAGAGGACCTTTCTCCCATGGAAGGCTGGGGCTATATGCATTCACTGTAGATGAAGACAGGATTGTAAGGGTCAAACAAAAATTGAGAATCCAGAGGTTGCCATCTAAAAATGATTCCCATCTCCCTTAAAAATTAATGAGAGAACTTCCTTCCTCTGGCTAAGTTTACAAGATGAGAGTATTGGTAGTTAAAAAAGCTGGACACTTTTAGTTTTGTCGCTGGGCATGATGGTGCACGCCTGTGATCCTAGCACTTAGGAAGTGGAGGTGGGAGGATCGTGGAAAGCTCAAGACCAACCTGGACTACATAGC